ATGCATAACTGAGAGATAGTATCTGCTACCAGCCACTGGGATTCCTGAGCCTCTGAAGTTCCCCACCCTTGTCAGATACCTAAGTGGGGGAGCCCGTAAATTAGTCCTTAATCTGCCGCCTCAGGAGCAGTTTCCAGCCCGAGCTGTTGAAGAGCTTAGAGCAGAATACAGTGACTGTCATTTATCATTGGACCCCTTGGCAGACTTTTATGAGCGATGCCAACGCCCTAGAGAAACAGCCTCAGCCTATGCCATCGAGTTAGAAGCCTTACTGCGGGTAGTAGAGGAGAAGCTCCAACAGGGCCGATCCTTCCCTGATCGGGACTATAAACTGACACAACAGTTCATGCGGGGCATCCGGGACCGAGAAGTGTGGAATAGGTTGGCACCTATGCAGCCTCGCTACATGACATTCTGACAGTTGCAAGAAGAACTGTGTCAGTTGGCCCGGGAGAGGAATGTAGAGGGTAGAATGCATGGGCCAGCCCAGAGGATAAATAGCCTGCAACAAGCTGCCCCGTCAGATGATGCTGTGCAGGCTGCCCCTGAGGTACCTCCACCCAGCAGTACCCCGCATCAGGCAATGCTGGAGACAGTGAAGGGCCTAACTGGACTAGTCCAGGAACTGACTGCCCTCCAGAAACAGAGCCATGTGAGAATGGGACAGCTGGAGGCACAGGTATTGCAGCAAGGTGTAGCAATGAGGGCAGCACCTCAAAATTCTAGATGGGAAAGTGATCGTGTCACCAGAGGCCGTTTTAAGAAGGCCACATAGCCCGTGGCTGCCGTCAACTCTCTCAGGCTCCCTCCTCTTTAAACTGCTAAAGCCTGACACTGAGGGGCAAGTGAAGGGCACAGAGTTGGTAAGAAGTTCCCCAATAGCATCAGTGTGCACAACGTCCCAGTGTACCCGACCATCTGCCAGCTGGCCTCCCAGCCTGGTGGGGCCCTTGACCGAGGAAATTGTGGAAGTGAATGGTATTCTGTGCAAGGCTCTAATTGATTCAGGGTCGCAGGTCACAACCATCACAGAGGATTTCTGGAGAAATCACCCTACCCTGGGCAAGTCACATCCCACACCTGTAGATCTCCTGATAGAGGGTGCTGGTGGCCAAGCAGTCTCTCATCTAGGAGCTATCAAATTAGATTTATCTTTCCTTGGGCAAACCTGCAAGGGAGTCCCTGCCCTTCTGGTGCCAGGAACGAAGTACCGACAGGGAGTCCCTGTGTTGTTGGGGACAAATGTCATACGTTCCAGCTGGCAGGATTTAGCCAACCAGTGGGGCCCTTGACAGAGGAAATTGTGGAAGTGAATGGTATTCTGTGCAAGGCTCTAATTGATTCAGGGTCGCAGGTCACAACCATCACAGAGGATTTCTGGAGAAATCACCCTACCCTGGGCAAGTCACATCCCACGCTTGTTACCGACAGGGAGTCCCTGTGTTGTTGGGGACAAATGTCATACGTTCCAGCTGGCAGGATTTAGCCAACCAATTGGGCAACCAATTCCCAGATTGCCTGAAAGAGAAGTCACCAGTCTGGCATGCAGCCTATAAGCAAGTAATCTCTGGCCAAGAGAGACCATCCTTGAGATACACTGGCAAGCAACCCATCTTGTTGAGAGCTGGAGAAGGAAAAACTGTACCTGTGAAGGCCCCTTGGGGTGCAGGATGGGAGCCATACACTGTTATGGTTGAACCTGATGCTAAGAGTCACCTGCCAGGGAATTTGAGGGTGGAGGAAGGTATAGTAGATGTTGAACATGGGAAGGCTTATGTTTACCTGCAGAATGTAGGACAAACAACAGCAATAGTAGGGAGGAACCAGCATCTAGCTACAGCATCAGTAGTCTACAGCATGGCTAGCGTGAGCAGCAGCTTAAACTACTCTCCAGGGCAAGCACTGAGAGAAGAGGCACAAGCCAATGCCGAGGTGCCAGAAGTATACCTGAGTCAGGTAGCTGTGCAGGACCCAGATCAACTGAAGATGTTGGAAGAACTTTTGAAGCGGAACGCAGATGTATTCTCT